TTATATTTTTACGCATATGACAAATAAAATAATACTCAATTTCATGTGAAATTATTAAAATAAGCTTTAAATAGTTAAAAATAAAATTTTAAATAAAATCAATATTAATAGCTAAAATTGATAATTACTTATATGAAGATAGCTAATTTTTAAGACCAGTAACCAGACTGAATTGAACTACAGATACTATTTAGGCCAGTCTTATTAGAACTAAGATGGATTAGGCTAGGCTGAACCAACTCTAGATCAAAATTTGAGAGTACATTTAGAAAATTTTACTGTACTTTAAATAAAATTATCTTATTTATCTATTTAGTTTAAAATAAGCTATGTATTTACTTATTTGAATTATTAGCCTGACCAGTGATTATTTATTAATTAAAATATTTAAAATTAGCTATTCATATTTAAAAACTAACAATGCATTATATTGTATTTATTTTATATATCTTTTATTTATTAAAAAATAAAAATCTAGAATATTATTTAAATTATATTTTTAAAGATTTGTTAATTTAAATCTAAGCACAAATTATAATTATTGAGTAATAGTATTAAAATATATTTAGATCTTATAATCATTCTATTAAATGCAATTAATATTCTTATTTATTTATAATTTTAGTTTATTTTATATATTTATTCCTATTGCTTGCAACGGGTTTACAGCTAGTATTTTTATAAAAAAATTAGATTATTTTTCTTCGACCCCTCTAACTTAGCAAAAAATGTAAAAAAAATATTATTTTTGTGAAACCTCTCCTTCCTCTTGTATAACATTATTTATGGATGCCCCTTATTGGCTAGCAGAAAAAATCAAATCATATGATATTAGTAATTAAAAATAAAAGATTATATAATATATTTTTTAATTAGTTATTTGAATTATTTTTAAGAACTGGTTCAAACTAGTCTTAGAACCGAGAACCAGTTAACTATAAGACTAGTTAAAAAAACTGGTCTTTATTCAGTTTTTTCAGGACTAATTCATCCTATGTTTAATGTATAATAATTAAATTATTATTTTTTCAACATAATAAATAATAGTTTTTTTTGTTTTGTCTTTTATTTTTAAAATATTACTATGAAAAACATAAACAAGTATGCTTTTTCTGCTATCAAGCACTATGCAAACTCTGCTAAGCATCAATTAGTTTCTTTCTTGCCTTATTCTTAAGAATAGATCAGTTCTGAAAAGACCAAATAAGAATTAGTCTTTTTAACTGGTCTTATAATTAATTGGTCTTGATTCTGAGACTAGTTTAGACTGGTCTTTATAAATAGCTAATTAAAAATATTAAAAAATTATTTTAAATAAATATACAACTCTAATTTTCATATTGTTTTTGAGTAAACCTTGCTAAATTAAATGTAATATAAAGTTGTAGAATTCAAAAGGATTCAACTAATTTTATTAAAATATGATATGAAAACTTTAAAGTTTGCTAAATATACATTTTATTACAAAAAAAAAATTTTATTAACTATGATTGGCTGGTAGTATATGATGTTAATTTTGATTGGTTTAGAGAATTTCAGAAGTAATTTGCATTTTGTATAATCTTGATAAATATCAAATGATAAATATCATTTTGGGTTTTGAAGTTTATTTCAAATTTTGGAGTCTATTTCAGATTTCAGGATCTATTTCAGGTTTTAAGATCTATTTCAGGTTTCGGAATCCAAAATGCCCCAACTATATGATGGATAATAAATATCACATGGGTTTAATATCTAAAAATAGAAATATGTTATACAATTCAAGATTATCGTAATTTATATATTTTTTACAGGACTTGTATAAACTTATCTATAAAACATTTTGCAAGCTTACTAAGTAAACTTAAAGCTTTCAGATTATAATTTAATAATATCAGTTAAATCCTTTTGAATTATACAACTTTTTTGTAACAAGTTTCTTTACAAAATATATATTGAAATAAGTAATTATGAAATACTAAACTACAGATTCTGAATGTTGATAATAAAAAGCAATGATTCAACAAGAGTAATATGCATTAGAATATTAGTTTGTATAATCTTTTATTTAGATTTTTATAAATAAATCTTTTAACTACTATTATCATATAGCCATATTATTGATAACTATACTAAAAATTCTCATATTTGTATAGTTTACATTATTACTATTTTATTATCTTTTTTTTCGGTCTTTAAAATAATCTATATGAAAAAATTTTAATTAAAAAAATATAATATATAAATTTATATAGTTTAATTTGATAACATAATTATAAATATGATATAAAAGTATAGTTATCAATAACTGTTACAGATAATCATGAAATCAGATAATAGTGAAATTTAGATCTATTTTATATACAATTTTTAAAATTTTTTAAGGTCTTTTTGTTAGCTTTTTTTTATAGTTAAGTTAGGATTTAGAGTTAGAGTTATTAGTAAAAGAATATAGATAGATTTTGATAAAGCTTATATTTTTAAATCGATATCTCTAAATTTTACTGTAACTAGTATGATTACGTAACACTATTTCGTAATCATACTAGTTAAAATTACAAAGAAATAAAAAACACATAAATACAATAAAAATCCTGAGAATAAAAAAAAAAATTAATTAGTTTCAAATAGAAAATTATTTCGGTAAAAATTACACGAAAAACAACCACAACATAATATTTATAAATTGCAATAAAACTGCATTTTTTTGTAAAAACACATGGATTTAGAAAAAAATATCAAATTTCCGAGCTTTTACAAACTAACTGAAATTTTACTCGATGAAAAAAAATGCTTAGAATACCTTTTTGAAACAGAAATTTTAAAAAAACCAACTAAATGTTTACATTGTGGATACAGAATTTTTTATTTTGTTTCAACGCGAAAAATTTTTAATTGTAGAAATTGTATGAAAAAAACAATTTCTGTATATAAAAATACTATTTTTTATAATCATCATATAAAATGCAATCAAATTTTATTCATTGGATATCTTTGGCTTATTAGAGCAAGATATACTACTATTTAATTATTTATGGGTCATGATAGAAATACTGTTAGAAAATTTATGTATTTATTTAGAAATATTGTAGTTGCTAGTCTAGTAAAAGAAGACGAAAAAATCAGAGGCAAAAACACAATTGTAGAAATTGATGAATCTAAATTTCGTTCTGGAGGAAAGTGGTGGGTATTAGGAATTGTAGAAAGAACAAAACTGAGAAAATGTTTCTTTAAAATAGTAAAAGATCGAAATGTTTATACTCTTAAAAGATTAATCAAGACATATATAAAACCCAGTTTAACAATATATACTGATTCGTGGAAAGGATACAGTGAATTAGAAAAAATAGGAATGGGATTTAAGCATAGAAGAATTAATCATAAAAAACCGAGTAAAAATCAAATTATAAAACGGATTCATACTCAATATATCGAGGGAACATGGGCGGGTATTAAGATGAATATTTTAAAAAGAGATAGAACTAAAGAAAAATTAGAATTACATTTGAAAGAATTTGTATTTCGAAGAAAACATTCTGCGAATTTATGAGAAGGTTTTATTGAATCAATTAAAAATTATAACTTAAAATAAATTATAAATACTTCAAAAAAATTCAGTTCATCGATTGATTCATCCTGAATGGAAAATGATCGATCATATTAATCGATGTGGATTAGACAATCGTGAAATCAACTTACGAGAAACAACACAGCAAGAAAATATGCTTAATCGTAATCTTTTTAAAAACAATTCTAGCGGTTATAACGGAATTAGTTTTAGTAAATCTCAAAATTGTTGGATTTTTAGTTATAATGAAAATAACAAACATAAATTTAAATGTTTTTCTGTTAAAAAGTATAAAACTTCTGAACAAGCAAAACAGCAAGCTATAGCCTTTAAATTAAAACATGATGAAAAAACTAGAAATCGAAATGGATATGAAGTTGTTTATTAAAAATTTGATGTTAAAAAGAAAAAATTTGTCCGGAGAGACGTAAACATAAAGATGATTTGTGGAACAAAGCAATTAGAAAATATAAACTATCAAATTTAGATATTTAACAAAGAGTTTACATATGAACACGTAAATAAAAATAGTTTGATATGAAGAGATAAAAAAAGTTTACTAGTATAAATAAAGGTATATTCTTACAAAATAAACATGTGAAATACCAACAAAAAACTTAAATGTATGACTATTCCAAATATATCAAATGAAACAATTATGTAAGAAAAGCCAACGCCAAAATCTAAAATAGAATCATTTAAGATTTACTTGATATGCGATTATTGATTAAAAGATAAAGCTTTTTTTTTTTTTTAAAAAAAAAAAAATTAACCATACAACGACGGTTTCTTGCAGAATTCATATGTCTAATGCTCACTTAAAAATAATATTTTTAACGATAAAAACCAAAAAAAACTCCTCACCACATCAATAATCTCGACAAAAATTGATTAATAATTTACTGAAATGTATCCTATTCAAATCATTAATTTTCTACCTCCTGAAAATTGCTCTCTTATATACAATAACTTTAAAATTAAATTTAATGCCTTGTCAAATCCTGGCTGCGCTAGGATCTATTTTTCGGATGAATCGGATCAAAACATTCCTATTCCAAACAATATGGTTTGTAGAGACTTAACAAATAACAAAAACAATCCAAAAATGCCGAATACCGAATATTTTATGATTACTAATCATAATAAATATGTTTTAATGTTTTATGGATATCATATCTGTGGTATAACAACTAAAGTAAACGGAGGATTTCAAATTTATAAATATTAATTTAAACAAAGACTTAATTTTATCTACGATTATCATTTGTATTTGATCAAACAAGATTAACAACTTGATTCATGTAAAATGAAAATTAAGATTTATTTCCTAATTTAATTTGTTTTTATTTGTTTTTCTTCGAATTTTATGTCTTTTTTTCTTTTTAAATAGATAAAAATTACTTATAAATAACAAGATTTATAAAATGTATTTTTTTTTTTAATAAAAATTAAAATGCCTAAACGATTATTTTTTCCTGGTCCCAACAAAGAAGTCGTTGAATTAGAAGGAACAAATTTCTTTGTAAAAATTGAAACCTTGCCGCAACCAAAACATGCGCAGGCATTTTTTATTTTAAAAGACTCCGAAGAAGAATGCGACGTTCCAGAAGAAATTAAATGTGTAGATAAGACGAATAATATCGAAAACATAAAAATGCCTTGTACCGAATATTTTTTACTCACTCACCTGAATAAATATGAATTTTATTTTAATGATATAAAAAAAATTAGTTTAAAACCCGAACCTAAATCTTTTTTAATTCAATTATAAATGATTATAAATAGTAAATGATAAAAATTGGCAAACAATAGAATTAGATGAATATAAATTTTTAGTTGGCAAAATCTGAAATTAAGCAATTTAAATTAAGTTATAAGCATGTATTAAATAAATTTTTATATATGATATTAGATTACGTTTAAAATAAATTGTTTATAATTTTATAAAACTTATTTTATTTATTTAATCTTAAAAACATTTAACTTAATGGTTAGGATGGGTTCGTTTATTATGGCCCACGCTGCCGCAGATGCTACACTTATATTTTTTGGATGAATCACGTTTGCGTTTGTGGTTTCCAACAGAAACGTGAGTACGTTTGTTATAACCAAACATGTTCATATCAGCAGCGCGACAAATTGAACAACTTGTTTTTCTTTTTTTGAGTTGTTTACAAAAACTCAAACTTATGAAAACAAAAAATAAAAAAATAATTAAAATCTTGTTCTTATTCATAATATCTAAATAAATAATAAAAATACGTATTAATATAATAAAATATATAAAAATATAAAATAAATAAAAGCGCACCTTAATTTTTTTTCTGATTATTAATTATATTCAGCTGTATCAATTCTATTTATATATTATCAAAAGATAAATAAATTGTTACACAACAGTAAAAACTATAAAAAAGAATTGTTTTACTTTTTTTTTTAACAAACCTGATTAAAATGATTAATGTAAGTGCTCTGTTATTTTGTTGTTAAAATTGACTTGGTTAATTAATTTGTTTAATTACAGCTTATATTTCATATATTACAATTCTCCAATATCTATTATGCGTAGCAAGGGTATTATAGATTAATTATGTGGATATATGAACAATGTTATGAAAGTGTTTTCTTAAGTATAATTGTTCTATGTTTGATAAATTTAATTTATGTAATTATGGTTCATTTTTTTAAAATAGGATATCAAAATATTTATAAAACAATAATATGGATAATAATTTTTTATGTTTATTATAATGTCGGGCTCTGGCACATGTTGATGTATTTTAGAAGTATTTTCTTTGATCTTTTGAACCCGGAATAAAAATTAATAACTCTGATTAAATTTTAATTATGGTAACTCATTTATAAATAAATTTCTTTATTTAGTTAAACTATAAAAAACAATAGCAAATATAAAATCCTGCTAAAAAAAAAATGAAAATTAAATCGAAAAAAAAACTTGATAAAAAAAAAATCTATTACAAAGAAACAGATATGTCTAAAGCCGGCGTTATCTCCCAAAAAATCTGCAGCGGAAGGTCGTAGAATCTTTAAAAACAACGATAACGATACTCTTCTTGTTTTAGAAAAAGTTCGTGCAAGTATTTTGAGAATGGTTTTTGTAAAAAATGATGAAATCATCACACCACCTAAAGATTATTATTATGAATACGTTTCCGGAGATAAAATTAAAACCTATTCCAAATCTGATAATTATAGTGGTATTTCTTGCTTCCTCATCGGGACCGATTTATTTAGATACACGTTCTATTTTAAGAACAGAAAAATTCTTTCATTTCATGATATGATGCAGTTTTCGGTCACTAAACCTAGTAGTATTCGTAGTTACAATCGTGAAAAAAATTCAAATATTTTTTTAAAAATTGATAATATTTTAGGAGAATCTGATAACAAACAAGAAAAATATAATGATATAGAAATAGAAGTAGAAGAAGAAAAAAAGGAATAGTTTAATTTATTTTTCTGTTTTTTATTTTATATGTTATAAATAAATAAATAGCTAAACTGTATAACAGACCATATCTATCTTGAATATGTGATACATGTAATGGATCGCAAAAATTAAAAATATAAAATTGTAAATATAAATTTCATCAAGTCTAACGGAACGATAAGTTAATGAAAATTCTATAAATCCTAATATTCCAGCCGCAATTCTTAATGAAACTTTTTTAAACGCGCTATCAAATATAAATTTTTTCACCATCTTATTCTTCATAATCGTGTTTAAAGGATAAGGAAACAATACCGATATCCTATCGTACATTTCCATGATAATATCTTTGACATGATCAGACGTCTCATCGAAGAGTTTTGTGAACCAATGAGTTCTGTAATAATATTCCTCAGCGATATGAACTTATTCACTTTAATAAATGTATTAATAGTATTATTTTTTCTTCGATTATCTCATCAAATTCATCGATGAGTTCTTGACGCGTTCGTCTCAAACTCTTAAGTAAATCTACAAGACTCGGTTCACTTGTCATCAATTTAATAATTTCATCAAAATCAGAAAAAAAATTATTTCGTTTCATAATAAAAGATATAAATAGTACAAACTCGCTTTATATAAAATATATAGAATAACAATGGGTAAAGTAGTCAACACAAAACTTAAAAAATTTATAAGAAACTCAGTTGATAAAAAGATCTAATTGAAAAATTGCCAAATTACGATCCTGACTATGTGATAACAAATCTAACAAATATCGAACGATTAGCTGATATATATTACAATGATGATAGCAAAAAAACAACAAAAAGAAAAAAAAAACCAAAAATAAAACAGAAGAAGTTAAAAAAAAGCAAACAAAATATCAATTATTCGTTCAAAATAATTTTCAAAATATAAGAGAAACATGTGAGACAAATTCTGAAGCTATGACAAAGATTGCTGAATTGTGGAAGACTAGTTCTGAGAATCCAAAAAATGGATCAGGGTTTGAAAATATATAAATATCAAGTTTCTCTATTAAAATAAAATAAATGGCCTCTCAAGATTTCGATTTTTGCGAACGATATAATAGAAACAAACTAAAACTCAACTTGGCAAATTCTTATTTACAAATTATCCTTTTAGTAATAGTTATCTACACAATAATTATCTTACATATTAAATTCTTCGATTTATCATATATCATTACACAAACCGGAAACTCGATTCATGAAATATTAAAAGATATAATTCTCTTCATCAATACATATAAACAAGGTGGCTCAAATTAAAAAGAAAACTGTGAAACCTAAAACAAAACCACGTGTGATTGCAAAAACAATTACCAAAAAGAAAAAACCTGTCAAAAAGTGTAACTCGTGTGGATGCAAAAATAAAAAATGCCGTGCGCCACCAAAGTAAAACCATCAAAAAAAACAACTAAAAAAAAAGTAAAACCAGCAGTTTGTAGAATTGGTGGCTGCGACGATGAAGAAAAAATAAATATTTGTAAAACAAAAAGACTAACTGCAGTACAAACAATTAAAATACAACTGGGACCGATGAAAGAAGATAAAAGAACGGTCTTTTTCGATACACTTTGGACAAGAATAATACCTTTTAGACTTTTTCAACATGATAAAAAATTTGAACCATTTACACAAATTAATCTATACGATATTTTAATACATATACAAATTGTGACTTATCATGATAAAGATGTGACTAAAACTATTCGAATACCTACCCCTGGCCCCCCAGCTGACAAAACTACTGTTATTACTCCTCTAATTTCAATACTAAAAATTAAAAGTTTTATATTAGAACTTTGTGATCTCGAACTAGCAAAAAAAAAAAACTTTTTAATCACAGACCTTTTAATTGATGATGATCTTCAAGATATCAGATTCAAAAATACCGTAAAACCAATTCTCGAAACAGAAACTGAAATTAATTGTGGCACATGTGCTTTCACAAGCGATTATATAACCATGTGTTTAGATCTGGATAAAATGAATGTTTGCCTAAATAGAAAACAAACAAATGATACTGAATCTACTTTTTTTGATAAAGGAAATTACCTGTTTGTAATGTTTTTAGATTACAACGATTTTATGTATAGAACTAGAAAAACCGTTAATGATCCCCCAGAAAGTTATCCTTTAGGTCAAACTCTTGAATTAAACCTAGGAAATACCGGAATCCCATCATTTATGGGTTCGGGAAGTATCGAATCAACATGGACGCCTGTTATGAATGCTGCTGAAATGCAGAAATTGATGACCAAAATAACTAATTGTTGTGAGAAGAAAATGGACGAATGATAGATGATTATTTTAATTTTCTATGTATAAATAACTTTAAAAAATATATATAAATAAACATCGATCAACATTTTTTTTTATTTTTAAAAAATATGGATCTATATAAATTAAATAAGTCTTCAGCTTGTGTTATTGCAAGTTGCAATGATGATAGAAAATTTAGATCCTGTATTGGAAAAAGAGATCCAGATGCTACAACTAGTTTTGTTAAACGCCCAGTACCTGAAGATGGTTTTATATTTTATACTCCACTTGATGATAGATGGACTATAATAAGATTATTCCAAATTGAAATGGATGAAAAAAAAATCGAATTACATGATATTGTAATAAATTTAAGTATAACATCTTACTATCATCACGATAAAGATGAAACTTTTGAGCTAGTAACAGGAAAAGATGATGAAACTGCCACCATTACTCCAATACTAGAAAAAATAAAATTAAAATTCTATGTGATTGAAATTTGTGATAGACTTACAGCAACTCAACACAATCCCAGAATTGGAGATATATTATTAAATAAAGATATTAAAAATATTCAATTCAGAGATTATATTAACCCCATACTAGAATATTCTGAAGAAATTAAATGCGAAGGATGTTAATTTCAGAATCATGGTTTTGAATTCTGTCTTGATTTTGGTAAAATAGAAGCTTGTAAATTAGAAACAGATGAAGACGAACCATTAACTTTCGATCAAGGAAATTTCGCTTTTTTAATTTTAATAGAATATATGGATTAAATGTATTTGTTTAAACAAACGGCTGGATTACAAAATCCTAGTTTGATGGGTGGACAGTTTAATCTCCAAAACGGAACAAGCAGAGTTCCTTTATTTGTTACTAAATTTGATGTAGAATCAACTTGGAAATCTATTAATTCTATTAATACTATCGACGCACTCTTCAAAATGATGAATGATTGTTGCGATAAATAAGATGCTAAGCAAAGAAACGTAAATTATATAAATAACCTGTTAATTTATCAAA